ATGGGATTAAAAGCAATCACAGTGTCCACGGAGCAGCACACAGCCAATATGGGACTACAGGTCTCAGAGTCTAGAAAGCAGCACAGAGACAATATGGAACTACAAGTCCCAGCGTCCAGAGAGCAGCACAGGGCCAGTGTGGAACTATAGGTCCCAGTACTCAGCAGCATACAGCCAATATGGAAGTACAAGTCCCAGCAATCCCAGTGTCCAGAGAGCCGCACAGAGCAGATATGGAAGTACAACTCCCACTGTCCAGATAGCAGCACACAGCTAATACAGAACTACAAGTCCCAACATTCCCAGTGTCCAGATAGCAACACACAGCTAATACAGAACAAGTCCCAACAATCCCAGTGTCCAGATAGCAACACACAGCTAATACAGAACTACAAGTCCCAACATTCCCAGTGTCCAGATAGCAACACACAGCTAATACAGAACTACAAGTCCCAACATTCCCAGTGTCCAGATAGCAACACACAGCTAATACAGAACTACAAGTCCCAACATTCCCAGTGTCCAGATAGCAACACACAGCTAATACAGAACTACAAGTCCCAACATTCCCAGTGTCCAGATAGCAGCAATCAGCCATTGTAGAACTACAAGCAAGTCCCAGCAGTTCTAGACTTCTTCAAGGTTGTTAAAGCACAACTCCACCCAAAAGGGGAAGTTCCGCTTTAAGCCTTTGTCCCCGCTCCCCATTAAAGATTGGCACGTTTGGGGAGGGAGTACCTGAATTTGACAGGTACCCGCTCCCACTTCCACTGTGTCCTCCCTCCCCATAGTCTTATGGAACACAAGACAGGTCCCAGAAGACTACGGGGGGCCATTCACAAAGCACAGCGCTTCTCGCACATGCACAGTGGGTACCCATCTGTGAATCCGCAAGCTGTCACAGCCGGGTGCCAACACTGAAGATGCCGGCGCCGGGGAGAGAAGACGGCCGGTGAAACCAGCGGTGGTGAGGACACTGCTGGATCGAGGGACAGGTAAGTGGTAGCTGCTGACTTTAATTTTTCTTTCAGCTGGAACTCTGCTTTAACCCCTTGCCCTCCTGAGGATTTCCCCCCCTTCCTGACCAGGCCATTCTTTGCGATACAGCGCTACGTTACTTTAACTGACAATTGCGCGGTCATGCAGCTCTGCACCCAAATGAAATTTACTTCCTTCTTTCCCACAAATTGAGCTTTCTTTTGGTGGTCATTGATCACCTGTGTGTTTTTCATTTTTTGTACTATAAACAAAAAAAGACCGGCAATTTTGAGAAAATAAAAATTTTTGGACTTTTTGCTATTAAACATATCCAGTAAAAAAATGTTTTAAATCAAATTTCGTCATAAATTTGGGTCTAAATGTATTCTGTGACATGTCTTTGCTAAAAAAAAAACAAAATCCCAATACGTGTAAATTAATTGGTTTATGTGAAAGTTATACAAATGGCGGCATAGATACTGGGATTTGATTTTTTATACTAGTAATGGCGGCGATCATTGAGTCCTACAAATGCGTCAGCCTGTGGATTTTTCACTGTTCTGTTACATCTTGTTGTTTGTGGACTGTTTGTGCCGTACTCATGAGATGATCTTGTACTTTTAATCACTTTGTGAGCATAATACTTACCTTATTACACATTAAAGTGTTACTAAACCCACAACAGTACAATCAGTCTGTATATGCAGTAAAGCATGCTTGTTATACTCACTGTGGAACCTAAGGGGTTAATCCTCTGCATTGTGTAAAAAGGCTGTTTGATCCTGTCTTCTCTGCCCCTCCTCTTGTTGAAATGACCACCTGAATCCATAGTCACATGCTCAGTTTGGTGTGTATTGCTAAAAAGGTTTTTTTTTTCTTGGGAGAGTGCATGTGATCAGCAAAAGGCCAATCAGCACTGTCCAGCCAGAGGTCAGGGGTTTCACATCCTCCTAGCGCAGAAAGAAAACTCCTCCTACAAGCTTTAACCAGTGCTCAGCCGATGTCCATGTTCTGTGGGAGACCGGATATAGTGAATGCAGGGCCCGGGGAGACCGGATATAGTGAATGCGGGGTCCGGGGAGACCAGATATAGTGAATGCAGGGTCCGGGGAGACTGGATATAGTGAATGCAGGGGCCTGGGAGACCAGATATAGTGAATGCAGGGGCCTGGGAGACCAGATATAGTGAATGCAGGGTCCGGGGAGACCAGATATAGTGAATGCAGGGTCCGGGGAGACCGGATATAGTGAATGCAGGGTCCGGGGAGACCAGATATAGTGAATGCAGGGTCTGGGGAGACCAGATATAGTGAATGCAGGGTCCGGGGAGACCAGATATAGTGAATGCAGGGTCTGGGGAGACCGGATATAGTGAATGCAGGGTCCAGGGAGACCGGATATAGTGAATGCAGGGTCCTGGGAGACCGGATATAGTGAATGCAGGGTCCGGGGAGACCAGATATAGTGAATGCAGGGTCCGGGGAGACCAGATATAGTGAATGCAGGGTCCTGGGAGACCAGATATAGTGACTGCAGGGTCTGGGGAGACCAGATATAGTGAATGCAGGGTCCGGGGAGACCAGATATAGTGAATGCAGGGTCCGGGGAGACCAGATATAGTGAATGCAGGGTCCTGGGAGACCAGATATAGTGAATGCAGGGTCCTGGGTTTAGTAACACTTTAAGTACTTTAACCACTTGCCTACAGGGCACTTATACCCCCTTCCTGCCCAGGCCAATTTCCAGCTTTCAGCGCTGTTGCATTTTGAATGACAATTGCGCGGTCATGCAACACTGTACCCATATGAAACTTTTATCATTTTTTTTGTGACAGATAGAGCTTTCTTTTGGTGGTATTTAATCACCTCTGGGTTTTTTATTTTCTCTTAAACAAACCAAAAACCACTGAAACTTTTTTTTTAAAAAAGTTTTTTCTTAGTTTTTGTTATAAAATGTTGTAAATAAGTGATTTTTCTCCTTCACTGATGTGCGCTAATGAGGCTGCAGTGATGGGCACTGATAGGCTGCACTGATGGACACTGATAGGTGGCACTGATGCGCACTGATGAGGAGGCACTGGTAGGTGGCAATGATGGGCATTGACAGGCATCACTGATGGGCACTGAAAGGCAGCACTCATATATGGCACTGATAGGTGGCACTTTTAGGCAGCACTGACTGGCACTGATAGGCGGCACTGATTGGCACTGCTAGGCGGCACTGATAGGCAGCACTGATGCACACTGATAGGTGGCACTGACTGGCACTGATGGGTGACACTGAAAAGCAACTCAGATGGGCACTGATATGTGGCATTGATGTGGCAGTGATGAGCACTGAGAGCTGGCACTGATGTGCACTGACAGGTCTACTGCTGGGGCTACACAGATCATCAGGGCATACTGATCATCAGTGCTCTGATGATCAGTGTAAATGTCCCCTCCGAGGAATGCCGATTACCGGCTCTCCTCTCCTCTGTCAGCATGACAGCTCGTGGGGAGAGAAATGCCGGTAACCGGCATTTCCCTGTTTACATGTGATCAGCTGTGATTGGACACAGCTGATCACATGACTGAGCCGACATCTTTGGCTCTTTCCGTGGATTGGTGATCCGCTGTGTCCGAGGGACACAGCGCACCGCCGATCGCCGCGCCGTGCATGCGTGGTTAGAATGGGAGGACGTCATATGATGTCCTCCCAGAACGAGAGAACCGCCTTGCGTCATATTACTATATGGCGGGCGGGAGGCAGTTAAAGGATAATGCACTAGGCCAGTGTTTGTTTATTGTTCTTGCAGTGCTTCCAGACTTCCCCAGTCTTGTGAGGACAGCATGGCGAGTGCACCCCATGAAGGCCAAGTTTTGACTGCAGCCTATTAACCCTTCTTGGCCAACTCCCCAAGCACAGGAGGATTTCAATTTTTCCAGATCATCGACTTATAGCGGGACTGCGGTGGGCAATCTGACATGGGGGGAACTGACTTGGTGTCACTGACATCCCCAGTGCCACCAATACAGTGATCAGTGCTAATAAAAAGCACTGACACTGTACTAATGACATTGGGCAGGAAGGGGTTAACATCTGGGGCAATTGAAGGGTTACCTGTGTGCTGTGTGCCATTTCACTATGGGGGCTGTGTGTCTGTTTCACTGTAAGCACACTGCTTTGTATTGCTGTGATATAGATAGCCATACAAAGCAGTGTGCAGGAGCTGACAGGGGAGAAATCTGTGTTGTTTATACACAGGTCTCTCCCCCTTTGGTGATACTCGTCGATCACCAGGTGACATCCTAGGCCGCGAATGGCAGCGTGCACCCCCTACCTGGAACTGAAAAATCACGTACATATACGTGATTTTGCGCATCCGTGCCGCCCTGTAGCAGTATTTCTGTTATAGGGCAGCGTGGAACTGGTAAAGGAAAAGGTGATGCTGGCACCCACTGAATCCCTAGCTACCAGTGATGTCATCCAGCCCCATTCACTTTTATAGGGGGACCCTACTACAAAAAAAAAGCAAAAGTAAAATGTAATAAGAAAAAAAGTGTGGGGTTCCCCCAGATATCCACAGCTGACCCATACAGTCTGGCAGGCCATTCCCTCAACATGGGGGGGTACCCATGCTGTTGAGGACAAGGGTCTCTTCCCATAACCCTGGTCCAGGGGTGGACTGTCCATTTGGAAACTCGGGCACTGCCCGAGGGCCCGGGGTCAGTAGGGGGCCCCATGAGATGCCCCTCGTACCTTTTTCATAGGCTTTTTTGAGTTTGGGCAAGGACACAGGGGCCCCATGATCCCCTATTGCACGGGGGCCCCATGAGTTATCAGTCCGCCCCTGCCCTGGTCCATTGATTGTGGGGGTGTCCTGGCAGGGTACTTAGCAGAATCTGAAAGACACCATCACTCATGTTGTACATCGATGCAGATCCGCGTTAACTTCTTCCCTACTGCGCTATAGCCGAAGGACAGCTACAGTGCGGTTGTCTAGTTCTGGGGCGACGTTCATGGAAGTCATTCCAGAACACGCCCCCTGCGCACCCCCGGCGGCACGCACCTGGCGCCGCCGGTGATACGGTAAACGGCCAATCACAACTGCTTTTTACCATATGATCAGCTGTGTCCAATGACACAGCGATCACTGGGTAAATACAGTTGCCAGTTATAGGCTGCACTTTCCTCGCGCTGTCACAGCTTGAGGAAAGTACTGCTGACAACCGGCAATTGTCAGAGAAGTGATCGGCACTGATGATTAGTGCCCTGATGATCAGTGCTCAGCAGTGCCGCCCACCTGTGCCTATTAGTGCCACCCACCTGTACCCATCAGTACCACCCACCTGTGCCCTGCAGTGCCTAGCAGTGCCACCCACCTGTGCCCAGCAGTGCCTAGCAGTGCCAACCACCTGTGCCCAGCAGTGCCAACCACCTGTGCCCAGCAGTGCCACCCACCTGTGCCCATCAGTGCCACCCATCAGTGCTGCCGAGCAGTGCCCAGCAGTGCCGTCAGTCAGTACCACCCATCAGTGCTGCCTATCAGTGCCGTCTATCAGCGCAGCATCATCAGTGCCAGCTCATCAGTGCTGCCTATCAGTGCCCATCAGTGCTGCCTATCCATGCCACCTCATCAGTGCCTCCTATCAGTGCTGCCTATCAGTGCCTCCTATCAGTACCGACTATCAGTGCCCATCAGTTCTGCCTATCAGTGCCGACTATCAGTACCGACTATCAGTGCCCATCAGTGCTGCCTATCAGTGCCTCCTATCAGTACCGACTATCAGTGCCCATCAGTGCTGCCTATTAGTGCAGCCTCATCAACGCACATCCGTGAAGGAGAAAAATTACCTGTTTGCAAAACTGTGTAATAGAAACAAAGAAAACCTTTTTTTTCAAATGTTTTGATTTTTTTTTGGTATATAACACAAAAAATAAAACCCCCAGCGGTGATTAAATACCACCAAAAGAAAGTTCTATTTGTGTGAAAAAAATGATAACATTTCATATGGGTACAGTGTTGCATAACCGCGCAATTGTCATTCTAAATGCGACAGCTGAAAATTGACCTGGACAGGAAGGGGGTGACAGTGCCCTGTAGGCAAGTGGTTAAGGTGGTTGTAAAAGTCCATAAACATGTTAAACTCACCTGCTTTGTACGAAGGTTTTGCACAGAATGGCCCTGAACCTCCTCTTCTGGGGGCCAAACTCCCTCCAACCTTGATGAGGTGTCTCAAAGTATGCTAACCAGCTTTTCATTAGTCATAATCCAAGTGAGTATGCTCTTCATCACCGCCAGGTCAACCAGAGGCTTTTTCCAAGAGGTAACAATAGTTATTTTAGCTGCCAGGAACATAAAAAAAATGAGGCTGCATTCACACTTGAGAGATTTGTAGCTTGAAGCTTGAAGTTCAAATGTAAAAAAATCAATTGTTCTCTATGGTGCCTGTTCACACCTGAGCGCGTGTATAGGCACCACAGAGAACAATTGTTTTTTTATATGTGAGCTTCATGCTTTGAGCTTCAAGCTACAAATTGCTCAAGTGTTAATGCAGCCTTAGAGTCTAAGCATGTTGAGGCGCCCCTTCTACAGGTTTATTAGGAAAGACTATTTTGGGGTCCTTAATAACATTTACCATAGTAATGGAATTTATCGGGGTGTGAACTTTTATCCAGAAACGCTTGACTTTGCCACAAGACTACCACATGTGAACCATCGAACCCACTTGTCCACAGAGTGCATTCTGGAAAGGCGTTCAGATACCAGGTACCAAAAATTGTACATTTTGATGTGACACTGAAAACAGTAAGAAACAAAACTATTTAAAACAAAACAAAAAAAAAAGAAATGAAACATGAACAGAAAACAAAAATATAAATAAAAATAGAGCAGAAAAAAAAGCTAAAGGGAAAAAAGGAGGAAGGAGATTATTAACCACTTCAGGTCCGGACACTTTCACCCCCTTCCTGTCCAGGGCAATTTTCAGCTTTCAGTGCTATCACGCTTTGAATGACAATTGCGCGGTCATGCAACACTGTACCCATATGAATTTTTTAGCATTTTTTTGAGACAGATAAAACTTTGTTTTGATGGTATTTATTTACCACTGGGATTTTTATTTTTTTGCTATATAAATGAAAAAGTCCAAACATTTTGAAAAAAAGTGTTTTTCTTATAAAATTTTGCAAATAAATAATCTTTCTTCATAAATCTTGGCCAAAATGTATTCAGCTATCTTTGTAGTAAAAAAAAAAAAAACCCAAATTAGTTAATAACCAAAAATTACATTTTTATTATTTTTTTATTTTTTTTAAATATTATTTACTTATTTACATACTGTCACCCTAGCAGTACAGTGTCACACCATAGTGACATTGTACTACTTGTGGGGGGTTATGAAGATTTTTTTTACACTGATTGCTTTTACACCCATAAAGGCTGTAAAAGCAATCATTTCTCCTTCTCTCTGGCTGCATTCTTGCAGCCATTGAAAAATACTGTGTGAGCTGTGATTGGTCACAGCTTGTCACATGGTACAAGGCTGTTGTGAATAGCCCTGTACCATGTGATCTCTGTGACCATTCACAGATTTCACTTTACTAGTAGTAAGCAATGATGTCAGAAGGGACATCTTGCTTGCTACTCTTCATGTGATCCCTGATTGGCCAATCAGTGATCACATGATTGGGACCTCACACAGAGGTCCTGTACAATGATTGGTGTTCCGGATCGCGGTGCTGTGTGCTCCCAGGGAGCATGCACAAGCAGGGCCACCCGCCCTTGCACTCCCTGCACTCCCGTTGGGCTGTTTATATACATGGGCCGGACGGGAAGTAGTTAAGGCTGATTGTGGTTAACTAAAGATTCTGGTGACCACTCTAAAAAATATGGATTCTCTTCCTTCTCTGTCATGATGACAATAACCACCAAAATAAATCAAGAGGGTGACTTCCTAAGATGAAAGAAAAGGAGAGCTAGAAATAGACTTTATTTGCCTGTGCAGAGAAGGAAGTTATCATGGCTTTCCAGAGACTTGGGCAGTCAATGTGTACATGGTATATTATCTGTGCGTCATCTGTCTGTCACTGGATAGCCGGGAAGTCACATTCTGAGATCACCATCCCCACTCCATTCTCCTCCGGTGACATCACGGCTTCCCAAGTCACAGCTCCAGGCTGAGCCGGTGATAACACAATCACATCTTGTGGCAGAAAGTACAGAGTGACTTCATATGCTGAGCATGTCCCCAGCCCAAACCAGGGGGGTAGCTAAGATTTATTCTATCCAGGATTATTCAGCCTGAAGAACCTTCCAGGAGAGCTCTGATCTTCGCCAACTTGCACAGCAATGCCACCTGAATAGCAGATATTTTGAAAACGTTTTTAAGGGTTCTCCAAGCCACTTCTTCAGTTCTAATGAGTGTTGGGAAGATACCCCAACATTTATATCCATACAAGTAGCCCAGACACCTTCATCTAATCACCATGGAAGGCATCAAGGCGTTGCTCCTTGGTGGTCCAAGAACAGAAGGTGTGAAAGTTGTGGAACCATCCTGTTCTAGTTACATCATCCCATCCTTGGTGTCAAGAAGTCTGCATAGGTGTCAACCATTCTATTAACATGGCTAAAGGGGTGGGGTGGGAATTTTGTCAAATAGCTGGAGTAGAGATGTTAAAACGGTATTATGTGTACATTGAAGGCCTCTCCCCCTGTTCAGGGATGGCTGTTCCAGTTTGACATAGACGGGCTCTATCATGCCTCTTGCAATTCAGCCCAATGCACCTGTGTTACAGAATATCATCATGTATGGACCACTGTGTGGAGTTCCCAAGACCAGAGTCAGGTGCAATTTCCCATGTGCCAAGGTGTGCTGGCAGACCTTTCAAAAAGAATATGCTGACTTAATGTGTGACTTAGAGCTGAACTCCAAGTAAAAGGTTACCCTGGTAATGGGGCTCCTTCCACACAGCATGGGTTAAATGCTCATTTTAATCTAAGGAACATTAAAAAGCAGTTTTATTTACCTTATCTCTTGCTCCTGCAAGCTTCCTCCCAGCTGCACGACCAGTCCCCTGAAGAGCTGCACGACCAGTCCCCTGAAGAGGCTTCTCTTTGCTGCTCAGTTGGTTGCAGTTCTCTGTCGTCATCACGTTCAATGGAGGATCAGCAGTCCTGCAGTAGAGGAGGATGGCAAGGGCCTGTAGCCAACCTGGATGGTCAGACAAAAGAGGAATGAACCATCTACCAGGGTAGCAAGGCATAAGACAAGTAAAACTACCTTTTGGGGCCACAAGGTCCTATTGTGTTATGGCTATGTACACGCTACATCAATGCTTGACAACAGATGGTACCCCATATGGAAGATAAATATATTTGAAATATATTTTAAAAATATTCTTCCAAAATATATTGCTATATATTTGAAATACTACAATTTTGTCCATATTTAATATATTTCAAAAATATATTACAATAAATAAATAAATATTCCTTGAACAAAAGTAACAGCGATACTTGGTATCTCTCTATCTTGTGTCTGAACAAGGATTATAAACAATGTTATTTTGTATCTCTTTATCTTGTGTCTGATCAATGTTTATAAACACTGTTACTTTGTATCTCTTTACTTTGTGTCTGAACAACGTTTTTGAACAATGTTACTTTGTATCTCTTTATCTTGTGTCTCAGAAACATTTATAAACAATTTTACTTTGTATCTCTTTTATCCTGTGTCTGAACAATGTTTATGAACCATGTTACTTTGTATCTCTTTATCTTGCGTCTGAACAATGTTTATAAACAATGTTACTTTGTATCTCTTTAAACTTGCATCTGAACGTTTATAAACAATGTTACTCTGCATCTCTTTATCTTGCATCTGAACAGATTTATAAACAATGTTACTTTGTATCTCTTTACTTACGTCTGAACAATGTTTCTAAACAATGTTACTTTGTATCTCTTTATCTTGCGTCTGAACAATGTTTATAAACACTGTTACTTTGTATCTCTTTAACTTGCGTCCGAACAACGTTTATAAACAATGTTACTCTGTATCTCTTTATCTTGCATCTGAACAGATTTATAAACAATGTTACTCTGTATCTCTTTATCTTGCATCTGAACAGGTTTATAAACAATGTTACTTTGTATCTCTTTATCTTACGTCTGAACAATGTTTCTAAACAATGTTACTTTGTATCTCTTTATCTTGTGTCAGAACAATGTTTATAAACATGTTATTTTTTATATCTTTATCTTGTGTTTGTACAATTTTTATAAACACTGTTACGTTGTATCTCTTTATTTTGTGTCTGAACAACATTTTTGAACAATGTTACTTTGTATCTCATTTATCCTGTGTCTGAACAATGTTTATGAACAATGTTACTATGTATCTTTCTACTGTTGACCGTACACACTTCGATTTTATTAACCAAATGATTACCGACTTCATCAAAATGATTACTTCAGATTATATCAGAAACTGACTGAATAGCCATAGCTTCCTTCTGATAGAGGTAGACTTGGTTTAGATCAAAATGGATCCAGTGGAAAGTTATTAATAATTTTGCATCAATTGGCAGCACCACGACCATTCAGGCATAAATTTGATTGTATTTTGATCAATCAGCTAACATTCAATGAAATCTTCCAAGTATCGATCAATTGTGTTATTAACTGTATATCAATAATTTCTATCAGGAGAGATTTATTGGAAAATAAATTGATCATTTATTGATGCGTGAACGACCAACATATCTCAGGTCTGAACGTGTTTAGAAACACTGCATCTGTTTTTTTGACAGTAGCTTCTGTAATAGTCTCCATATTTATACAGAAACTCCTGGCTGTCATTTTGACATTTGGGAATTTTGGGCAAGGGGGGGGAGCATCAGCAGAAAGTAAGGACAAGATGTACTACATATGGACAAGGTTTATCATCCTATCAATATCTTTTTTTAAAACTCTATTGATAACTAAAGATCTATATAAGGAATCAGGACATCCTTCCTCCTGCTGGTGACCCCTCTACTGATAACTATTATTATTATTATACAGGATTTATATAGTTCAAAAAATTATGGATAGCGCCACAAAAAATAAAATAAAAACACTAAAGTGAAATAAAATATAAGCTGCAAAACCTAACCTTAAAAGGTGCATATATCTGTGAAAATATAGGTTTGCGCTCATATTACACAACCAAATATAGATATATCCACAATGTCTAAACATATAAAATAATTAATAGTGTCCAAATAAATTGTGAAAAGTATATATAAATATATGTGCCAAACAAAGTCCAAACACCAGTAAAGGATGATATTTTTCTTTGTGTCTTTAAACGATAACTATTGTCAGATAAGTATCTCAGTGTCCAAACAAATTCACTGTGAAAAATCCACCACCAGATAAATTGAATGAACTCACCAGAGCAATATGCTGATCAAATTATAAATCAGCATAAGCACTTTCTGCTCTGGGAGCGATACTCTGCAGGAGAATAATCAGCAATATTCGTATGGTCTGGGAGCAATACTCTGCAGGAGGATACTCAGCAAATGTGGAATATTTCTTTATGGTCATCGCCTCTTCATATACTCAGAACAGTACTCGGGAATCAAGAAAAGAAAAACTCATGGTGCAGTATCATTGAAACCATTTTATTAAAAAACAAACCATTGCACTCACAATCAGAGGTGTCCCAGCCGACACCAGCAAAATTAGCGTTTTCAGAATCAGAGACGAATCCAGCCTCCTCCAGCATACACAGACGATGACAGCTCAGGGAACGTTGTGATGTCACATACACAGGCTCCGCCCTACGCATTTCATCACCAGACATCCTCACCGCTCCCTGCTGAAGTCACTTGACCAGCGTGACGCAACGCGACGGTACCTGGGGAGGAACTTCCGGTACATGGTGACGTCAATTCCGGCGTGGTCGCCATATTGGAACACCTTTTTGAATACCCATGCAGTACACCCATAGCGTGAGGCAGAAAGCTGTCATTTTATGATCAAAACGTGAGTGGGCATTTGTCTGTTACATGATATACATATAAATATTAAACATAATTGCACTATGGAGGATCTTTTTGTCTTATTATGATGCTTTGTGGGAGAACGGTGTTGCTGATATCTATGTGGAGGAGGCTTTGAAAGAGGAGAATATACCACCATTGAGGGGGATCCTGTGAGGAATTAATACCTGTAAGGATCGGTGTGATCCCAAAAGTGAGCTGGCCCTTTGTGGTCAATGCAAGAAGGTGAGGGGGCATTTTGGCCACTAAAGGATTGACACTATTGCTGTGACCACCTACACATGTCATCACTTGTGTGTAATTTAAGTTCGAGCACATGTTATATATCATCATTTTGGACTCTAATATCTTTATTTGGGGGGTTTTCTATTTTATTATATGTATATATTTGTTTTTGTTAAGTGTGGTGTGTGACCAGGGGCGGACTGACAACTCATGGGGCCCCCGGGCAATAGGGGATCATGGAGCCCCTGTGTGCTTGCCCAAACTCAAAAAAGCCTATGAAAAAGGTACCAGGGGCATCTCATGGGGCCCCCTACTGACCCCGGGCCCTCGGGCACTGCCCAAGTTTCCAAATGGTCAATCCGCCCCTGTGTGTGACACTTAGCATGTTTTATATCCCTATAAAGGGGATTAACGTTTTGCACTCAAGCATTTAAGTATATTGGATCCCTCAATTGTGTGATATTTATTTATATTTCTACACTATTATCATTTTATTGCACTGATTGTGAGAAGATTGTAACACGTGATATTATCATTTTATTGGAGCATTTTATTTATTAAGCGCTACACTGTGTTTATATATATTTTGTCATTTGCACTTTATTGGGTCAAAGTTCTAGTGTCCGCAGCTTAGGGTTAGGGCCCCATTTAAGCGCAGGAAGATTGATTTATTACTAATGCCTGACGCCTGCTGACCTGACACAAAATAACTGCAAAACAGAATGACAGGTCTGGCAGATTATGGCTGTTACAAACAATATGGATATGACCATATATGGTCATTGGTGTCTGTGGGATCCCATGACATCATTAATCAAATGACCATATGGTTTTGAGAGGAATCTCAAACTTTAAAAAAAAAATTGCATTGTGTTTTCCCTTAAAATCCATATCACACACAAATTGTGTAGTATAGAATTTTTTTTTTGGGGGGAGGGGGGTTGCATGGAGTTCCCCTTAAAATTCATATCAGACCTGGAGAACTAATGATAAGTAAAGATCTATATAGGGGAACCAGAACCTCCTGCCTCATGTTGGTGATCCCTGTAGTGATGCAAAGAGAAGTCCAATTCTTGTGGGCATGACTGTGGAAGATACAATCGTATTATTACAGATGGCTCTGTTTACTCTTGTTACGTATATGGGTGACTTCACTCTCGTTTTTAGAATTAGCCGTCACTTACGAGGTGTCCCCCACCCCCTATAAAACGTTTAGCTGCCTCCGTCACAGGAGAACATAAATAGAACCTCTTCATAGCTTCCAGATTTAAGAAGTGGACACATCTGACTCTGCACGAAGGTCAGAGACAAACTGGGACATTAACAAGAGCAGATCTCAGCTGTCAGCCACCCTGCATTGCCTGGACTTACAACTTGTCCTGCCACTGTACTTCTGTTCCCCTGTACCACCAGATTCACCATGAACGTTGTGCCCTGTGCCCGCTGTGGATATGGGGTGTACCCGGCGGAGAAGATTAACTGCATCGACCAGGTCAGTGCCTGTTCTGGTGTCTCTTCTTCCTATATATTGGTTGCTACAATGTATGGAACAGGGGCGAACTGACCATTTGGAAACTCAGGCACTGCCCGAGGGCCCGGGGGCAGTAGGGGGCCCCATGAGATGCCCCTGGTATCTTTTTCATAGGCTATTTTGAGTTTGGGCAAGGACACAGGGGCCCCATGATCCCCTATTGCCCGGGGGCCCCATGAGTTGTCAGTCCACCCCTGGTATGGAAATGCTGAATTGTTTAGCATTCATATTACTTAGAGAAGAAAGAAAGAAAGAAAGAGAGAAAGAGAAAGAAAGAAAAAAAGAAAGAAAGAGAAAAAGAAAGAAAGAAAGAAAGAAAGAAAGAAAGAAAGAAAGAAAGAAAGAAAGAAAGAGAAAAAGAAAGAAAGAGGAAGAACTTTAACCCCATACTGCAGAATTGTTTAGCGTTCATATTATCTAGAGAGAAAAAAAAGAAAGAAAGAAAGAAAGAGAGAGAAAGAGAAAGAAAGAAAGAAAGAGAGAGAAAGAGAGAGAAAGAAAGAAAGAAAAAGAAAGAAAGAAAGAGAGAGAGAGAAAGAGGAAGAACTTTAACCCCATACTGCAGAATTGTTTAGCGTTCATATTATTTAGAGAGAAAAAAAGAAAGAAAGAGAGAGAGAGAGAGAGAGAAAGAGAGAGAAAGAAAGAAAGAAAGAGAGAGAAAGAGAGAAAGAAAAGAGAGAAAGAAAGAAAGAAAGAAAGAGAGAAAAAGAAAGAAAGAGGAAGAACTTTAACCCCATACTGCAGAATTGTTTAGCATTCATATTATTTAGAGAGAAAAAAAGAAAGAAAGAGAGAGAAAGAGAAAGAAAGAAAGAGAGAGAAAGAAAGAAAGAGAGAGAAAGAGGAAGAACTTTAACCCCATACTGCAGAATTGTTTAGCGTTCATATTATTTAGAGAGAAAAAAAGAAAGAAAGAAAGAGAGAGAAAGAGAAAGAAAGAAAGAAAGAAAGAAAGAAAACTATAACCCATTACAATGATATTCTCATATTTGCTCCCATTTGGTCTAATAAATATAACATTGTAAGTGTTTTGTTGTATCTATTCATTAAAGTGGTTGTAAGGCTCAGACATGAAATATGAACAAAGCATATCCCTCTATAGTGTGCACTTGTCTCAATCCAGAGCGCTAAGTGTCATTTCTGTCTGCTGCCTCATTCCTCTACTAATAGGAAGAGTCATTTCTGGCAAGTTTTCATGACACCAAGAGGAAAATGGTGACAGGGGAGGGCACAGCCTGTGATTGACAGCCTCTGTTCTTGTGAACTGTGTGGAGGGGAGGTGTGTCCCTTCCTTCCATTCAGCTCTCAGAGTTCCTATACAGTTTGTAGCTGCAGCTCTGAGAGATCCTGTGTAAATTCTGAACTTTGAATAGATATAGGGGACAGATGGCTGTAGATAAACAGGTGCAACCTATGTATCATCTCTGTGTATCACTTGAGGCCAGTCACTTCTCCAGGTATATATAATGGTTTACAACCAATTTAGGCTCAGAGAGCTGATAACTTTGTGTGCTGTTATCCTTTACATTGTTTCCAGTTATCTTTGGGGACTACAGAAGACTTCCCATCTATGTCATGGTGATGAGGAGAGGGGGAGGTGTTCTGTTACCCTAACACACATCCTGCCATAGGGGGACAACATTGACTCTCCTTAGATACAGTACAGTGAGTAATTTCACTCTAGAACAGGTAAAAATAAAGGGAAAAAGCCTGAAAATTGAGTTGGGTTTAGATACACAGTGGGGTTGATTTACTAAAACTGGAGAGTGCAACATCTGGTGCAGCTCTGCATAGAAACTAGTCAGCGTCTAACTTCAGCAAGCTTTGTTAAAAAAAAAAACCCTGGAAGCTGATTGGTTTATATGCAGAGTTGCACCAGATTTTGCACTCACCAGTTTTAGTAAATCACCCCCTTTTAAGTATATAAACATTTGTAAATCAGCCACTAGATGACTCCTGCTTTAAGAAAAGATAGCAAAAATGACTTTCAGCAATCATATTTGTAATCACATATAATATCCACTGATTGAAAGTACCTCATAGTCACTTTTCAGAAGAAACCTATTCTGATATATATATATATATATATATATATATATATATATATAGGTGAAACTCGAATAATTAGAATATGGTGCAAAAGTTCATTTATTTCAGCAACTTAAAAGGTGAAACTAATATATGAGATAGACTCATTACATGCAAAGCAAGATAGTTCAAGCCGTGATTTGTCATCATTGTGATGATTATGGCTTACAGCTCATGAAAACCCCAAATCCACAATCCCAGAAAATGAGAATATTGTGAAAAGGTGCAATATTCTCCGCTCAAAGTGTTCCACTCTAATCAGCTAATTAACACCTGCAAAGGGTTCCTGAGCCTTTAAATGGTCTCTCAGTCTGGTTCAGTAGGAATCACAATCATGGGAAAGACTGCTGACCTGACAGTTGTGCAGAAAACCATCATGGACACCCTCCATAAGGAGGGAAAGCATCAAAAGGTAATTGCAAAAGACGTTGGATGTTCCCAAAGTGCTGTATGAAAGCACATTAATAGAAAGTTATGTGGAAGGGAAAAGTTTGGAAGAAAATGGTGCACAAGCAGCAGGGATGACCGCAGCCTGGAGAGGATTGTCAGGAAAAGGCCATTCAAAAGTGTTGGGGACTTTCACAAGGAGTGGACTGAGGCTGGAGTCAGTGCATCAAGAGTTACCACACACGCGGATCCTGGACATGGGCTTCAAATGTCGTATTCCTCTTGTCAAGCCGCTCCTGAACAACAAAGATCGTCAGAAGCGTCTTACCTGGGCTAAAGAAAAACAGACCTGGTCTGTTGCTCAGTGGTCCAAAGTCCTCTTTTCTGATGAGAGCAACTTTTGCATCTCATTTGGAAACCAAGGACCCCGAGTATGGAGGAAGAATGGAGAGGCACACACTGCAAGATGCTTGAAGTCCAGTGTGAAGTTTCCACAGTCTGTGTTGATTTGGGGAGCCATGTCATCTGCTGGTGTTGGTCCACTGAGCTTCATTAAGTCCAGGGTCAACGCAGCCGTCTACCAGGAGATTTTGGAGCACTTCATGCTTCCTTCCGCAGACAAGCTTTATGGGAATGCTGACTTCATTTTCCAGCAGGACTTGGCACCTGCCCACACTGCCAAAAGCACCAAATCCTGGTTCAATGATCGTGGGATTACTGTGCTTGATTGGCCAGCAAACTCGCCTGACCTGAACCCCATAGAGAATCATTTTAAAAGTTCTAGTTGTCTGGATTTCATTCTGATCCAGCAGTTTCAGTACATCTGGTGTCATTGGTACAAAATCAGTACAGGGCCAGGACTTAGTGGTTTATGTATAACAAAATTGCTGTGCATGCTTCAACAGTCACACAACCATCACAAATAATCCCCATAATGTGTCTAATATATCTAACATATCTTGGACCCATTATGGGAGTAATGAAGTCATTTGCACAGCCATATACACTCACCGGCCACTTTATTACGTACACCTTGCTAGTACCGGGTTGGAACCCCTTTTGCCTTCAGAACTGTCTTAATTCTTCATTGCATAGATTCAACAAGGTGTTGGAAAAACATTCCTCAGAGATTTTGCTCCATATTGACATGAGTTACTGTTACCTTTCTGTCATCTCGAACCAGTCTTGCCCATTCTCCGCTGACCTCTGACATCAACAAGGGATTTTTGTCCACACAACTGCCGCTCACTGGATATTTTCTCTTTTTCGAACCATTCTCTTTAAACCCTAGAGATGGCTGTGTGTGAAAATCCCAGTAGATCAGCAGTTTTTTAAATACTAAGACCGTCTGATACCAACAACCATGCCACGTTCAAAGTCATTTAAATCCCCTTTCTTTCCCATTCTGATGCTCGGTTTGAACTTCAGCAAGTTGTCTTCACCACATCTAAATGCCTAAATGCATTGAGTTGCTGCCATGTGATTGGCTGATTAGCAAGTTGTTTTACCAAGCAATTGAACAGATGTATCTAATAAAGTGGCCGGTGGGTGTATATATATGCTATCATTGTAGTAGTGCTGATTACTACAGTGATTGTTAGCTTCCTCAACAGCCCATCAGGGATGAGATATGCATACTTACATTGTGCCAAGCTGGACCAATAACCAATGCAATAAAATCTTTCCTGAAGCTCAGCTTTAAACCCCAGGCTGGTAGTACAGAAACAGCAGTGTTCCCTTGTAGTCTGATTCCTGGATCTGCACAGAGCGGCTATTTCTGTCCTGGCTCTTTGTGTGTTTGGCCAACTTCATCCAGCTGCCTAACCCCCCATACACCTGATATATGATATGCTGCGTAGGACGCTCTGCAACACACACTCTACTAAAAACAGACATTTTGCATTTATTGGGAACTTCCAGGGTGCCTCACTTGAAGGATCAACAGAAGGAGGAAGGAGGTCCTGATTCCTCTATAAAGATCTTTTCACTCGAGGGATCACCGTCAGGAGGAAGGAGGTCCTGATTCCTCTATATAGACTTTAGTGATCACTAGAGGGATCACCAGCAGGAGGAAGGAGGTCCTGATTCCTCTATATAGACCTTTAGTGATCACTAGAGGGATCACCAGCAGAAGGAAAGAGGTCCTGATTCCTCTGTATAGACTTTTAGTGATCACTAGAGGGATCACCAGCAGGGGGAAGGAGGTCCTAATTCCTCTATAGAGATCTTTTCACTTGAGGGATCACCGTCAGGAGGAAGGAGGTCCTGATTCATCTATAGAGATCTTTAGTTATCACTAGAGGGGGTCACCAGCAGGAGGAAGGATTTCCTGATTCCTCTATATATAGATTTTTAGTTATCACTAGAAGGGTCACCAGCAGTAGGAAGGAGCCCTGATTCCTCTATATAGATATTTATTGATCACTAGAGGGATCACCGTCAGGAGGAAGGAGGTCCTGATTCCTCTATATAGACCTTTAGTGATCACTAGAGGGATCACCAGCAGGAGGAAGGAGGTCCTGATTCTTCTATATAGATCTTTACATATCACTAGAAGGATCACCAGCAGGAGGAAGGAGGTCCTGATTCCTCTATATATACCTCTATAGAGATCCTCTTTTTACTAGAAGGATCCCCAGCAGGAGGAAAGAGGCCCTGATTCCTCTATATATACATTTTTAGTTATCACTAGAAGGGTCACCAGCAGGAGGAAGGAGGTCCTGATTCCTCTATAGAGATCTTTAGTTATCACTAAAGGGTCACCAGCAGGAGGAAGGAGGTCCTGATTCCTCTATATAGATATTTATTGATCACTAGAGGGATCCCCAGCAGAGCTCCTGATTCCTCTATATAGATATTTTCACTAGAAGGATCCCCAGCAGGAGGAAAGAGGCCCTGATTCCTCTATATATAGATTTTTAGTTATCACTAGAAGGGTCACCAGCAGGAGGAAGGAGGTCCTGATTCCTCTATATACAGTTGCAAGAAAAAGTATGTGAACCCCTTGGGATTACGTGGAGTTTTGCATGAATTGGGCATAAAATGTGCTCTGAATGTCATCTAAGTCACAACAATAGAAGAACACAGTCTGCTGAACATAATACTACACAAACATTAGATGTTGCCATGGTTTAATTGCACATAACATGTAAACATTCACAGTGCAGGGAGGAAAAAGTATGTGAGGCCCTAGCTTAATGAATTCTCCCAGAGCTAATTGGAGCCAGGAGTGAGCCAACCTTGACTCCAATCAGTGTGATGATATTGGATGTGTTGCTGACAGCTGTACTGACCTTAAAAAACACACACCTGTTTTGGGTTTACTGGTTTGAAGAAGCACTGTCTGATGTGAACCATGCCTCGCAGAAAAGAGCTCTCAGAAGACCTACGATCAAGAATTGTTGACTTGCATGAACCTGGAAAGGGTTACAAAAGTATCTCCAAAAGCCTTGATGTTCATGTGTCCACGGTAAGACAGAGTCTACAAATGGAGAAAGTTTAGCACTTTTGCTACTCTCCCTAGGCGTGGTCTTCCTGTAAAAATGACTGCAAGAGCACAGCGCAGAATGCTGCATGAGGTAAAGAAGAATCCCAGAGTGTCAGCTAAAGACCTACAGAAATCTCTGGCACATGCTAACATTTTTGTTGACACATCTACAATAAGGAAAACATTAAACAAGAATGGAGTACATGGGAGGACACCACGGAGGAAGCCATTGCTGTCCAAAAAGAATATTGCAGCACGTTTGAAGTTTGCAAAAGAGCACCTGGATGTTCCACAGCACTACTGGCAAAATATACTGTGGACAGATGACACCAAGATTGAGTTGTTTGGGAAGAACACACAACACTATGTGTGGAGAAAAAAAGGCACAGCACACCAACATCAAAACCTCATCCCCACTGTGAAACATGGCGGAGGGAGCATCATGGTTTGGGGCTGCTTTGCTGCCTCAGGGCCTGGACAGATTGTTGTCATTGATGGGAAAATGAATTCCAGAGTTTATCAAGACATTTTGCAGGAAAACGTACGACCATCTGTCCGCCAACTGAAGCTCCGCAGAGGATGGGTGATGCAACAGGACAATGACCCAAAGCATACAAGTAATGCAACAAAACAATGGCTGCAACAGCACAGAATACGCCTTCTGGAGTGGCCCAGTCAGAGTCCTGACCTCAATCTGATTGAAATGCTGTGGCATGACCTTAAGAGAGCGATTCCCACCAGACATCCCAAGAATATTGCTACACTGAAACAGTTTTGTGAAGAGGAGTGGTCCAAACTGACTCCAGATCATTGTGCAGGTCTGATCTGCAACTACAGGAAACATTTGGTTGAGGTTATTGCTGCCAAAGGAGGGTCAACCAGTTATTAAGTCCAAAGGTTCACATACTTTTTCCTTCCTGCACTGTGAATGTTTACATGTTATGTGCAATTAAACCATGGCAACATCTAATGTTTGTGTAGTATTATGTTCAGCAGCAGACTGTGTTCTTCTATTGTTGTGACTTAGATGACGTTCAGAGCACATTTTTATGCCCAATTCATGCAAAACTCCATGTAATCCCAAGGGGTTCACATACTTTTTCTTGCAACTGTAGATCTTATCACTAGAGGGATCCCCAGCAGGAGGAAAGAGGCCCTGATTCCTATATATAGATTTTTAGTTATCACTAGAAGGGTCACCAGCAGGAGGAAGGAGGTCCTGATTCCTCTATAAAGACTCCTGGATTAGTCCCAGTTTTCAATCAGACAAAAGGAGTCTCAAAGCAATGTGCTTTGTTGTGCTTTCTCTTTAGCTAACTCATAGTGCTTTTGGAGTCCCTTGTCACATATGAAATGTTTGTTTGTCAAAGGTTGTATACATATATATATAAAATATTAATCATAATAATATACAATTGATCCAAAACCAATATGGTGTCCTCGAAAGAGGCTGGTATTCTTTGTGGAGTGAAAGTTTGTGTATCATTTACATGCAAAAAAAAGGGAAAAATTACACAAATGATCACATATGTGGTAAAATGAGCTAATCCATGTGATAAATCCTTTTTTGTAACCAATATTGTTATTTATCAATATTTATTACTATGGATGGCTGAGAACTGACTGTATATAATACTGGGTCATTTTGCAAGGTGCAGGAGTTATTTTAACTGTGTTCCTTGTCCAATCACATGAAAACGTTTAATCAGTGAGGTACATATGAACTATTGCATAAAAATAGTGATGGGCCGAACACCCCCGTTTGGTTCGCGATCAATCAACCGCGAACTTTGAACCGGGACAATTCACTAAGTGGTATCGAACCGCATCCAAGTATGTGGTAAGATACCGCACAGCATTTTTCCAAAAAGTCTACTAAATACGGCATGAGTTCCTTAAGTCATGCGGTATTTTAGTAGTGAAAACATTCTTTAATGTATCAGCTGTCAGTGGGGTTCCCTGCTGACAGCTGAATGTAAAAAGAACTGCCTGCATTTAAAAATAAGTGAATATATATATATATATATATATGTGATTATATATATACGTGATTTTGTAGTTCTGGGTAGGGGGCGTCCTGCGCATCCAACCCGCACCGCCATTTGCAGCCTGGGCTGTCAATCACCAGGACCCGGCCGGTGATTCCCCAGCGGCACCCGGTGATCTCTGATTATTTCCAACAGGGGGAGAGGTCTGTATGTAAATAGTTCTCTCCCCTGTCAGCTCCTGCACACTGCTTTGTATGGCTCTGCATAGCAGAGCCATACAAAGCAGTGTGGTTACAGTGTAAAGCACACATACAGCCTACATAGTAAAACAGCACACAGCACACTGTTAACCCTTTGATGGCTCCAGATGTTAACCCCCTGATCACTGTATTGGTGTCACTGGGGATGTCAGTGACACCAAGTCTGTTCCCCCCAGTGTCAGAATTCCCACCGCAGTCCCGCTATAAGTCGCTGATCGCTGCCATTACTAGTAAAAAAAAAAGCTGTCATAAGAGAAATTTAAAAGCTGTCACCACGGACCTCCTTCTGAAAATGCTAGGTTGCCTGGCTGATAAGCAAATCCTCAACAGGTACTGATTAACCTGCATTATTGTTTCCTCCTCCCCAGATCTGGCACAAGGCGTGCTTCCACTGTGAAGTCTGCAAAATGATCCTGACCGTCAACAACTTTGTCAGTCACCAGAAGAAGCCATATTGCCAGGCGTAAGTCAGAGATGCATATTAGGCTGATAGTAGATGTATGTCCATTGTGTTCTATTGAATGATATTTAATTTACTCTGTGCATTGTGTGTATCAAAAACAATTGTTAATATATATATATATATATTATATATAAAATCCTGACTTCACCTTGATTTAATCTTTTGTTACATTTCTGTGCAGCTGATTTCCTGCTGTCTATTTACAGCCACTTCCTGTCTACATGCACCTCAATGATGGCTACATGGCATTTCTTAGGGCAAGTTTCCTGCTGGGCACAACAGCGGGTCATGGTTGTTATTATGAAAACTAGAGAGTGCACAATCTGGTGCAACTTTGCACAGAAACCAATCAGCTTCCAGGTTTTTATTATCAAAGCTTAATTGAACAAGTTGAAGTTAGAAGCTGATTGGCTGCAATGCACAGCTGCACCAGATTCTCAGCGCTCCAGTTTTAGTAAATCTACCCCCATGTCTCTGTAGTGAGTTTTGAAACAGCCCCTTGCAGTCTCCATTGGAAGCCAGGATGACAGGGTGACCACGCAGCAGCACAGTTGGGGGACAGGGACAGAGGGTTGTCACCTTATAACAGGTCAATGAACTTTCTGGCAGAATCCCCAGGGAGTACTTTAATAAAAACTGCAGGCTTAGGCTCCATGTACGCGGAATGTTTGGAAAACACTTCTGAACAATGGAAACTGACTGCTGGAAAATGTAGGTAAAAAACGTCTGTTTAGCCGCGTTTGCATACCGCGTTTATGAGCATTTGTGTCTTTAAGCGTAAAAAATTAACTATTTCAGACATTTTGAGAGAAATAGAGAGAGCAGAAGCAGAGAAAGCAGTATTTGTTGAGATTAGCTGTCTTTTTTTTTTTTGTGGTGTTTGGATGTGTTCCAGCTCATTTCTGTGCAGAAATTATTGCAGCAGTGTCTAACATATTTTCTTTCATGCGAAACCTCAAAGTACGGTGTACCGGGTCCATTTGAGTACCGGGAAAACGCTTTGCATGCATTTTTCATGATGAAAAAAGACTCTGGACAGCAACTGGAAATGGGAGAGCTAAAAAAAATGTTTCCAAACGCAAACACTTATAAACGTGGTTAGCTGCGTTTACAAACGTTTGGCGTTTTAAGCGCTGATAAAATCTACTGCTGAATGCAAGTTTTCTGCGTTCAAAAAAACGACTGTAAACTCGACTGCCTGTAAAGGACGATGTGTACATGGACACATAGGAAAACATTAGGGAGAGTTCAGGGGCTGCTGAAAAAAATGCAGAAAAGATCCTGAACGTCAGTTTATCAGCTGCAGTGTACATGGAGCCTTAGACATATTAAAAATGACTTTTGCAATAACATTGACACGTGAGAGATTATAGATGATCGCAAAACTTTGCATACTCTGGCAGAAATCATGAGGTTTTGGCATTGATATTGAACATATGACTGATCGTGCCAAAAAACATATCTAAAGTGTTACTAAACCCACAACAGTACAATCAGTCTGTATATGCAGTAAAGCATGCTTGTTATACTCACTGTGGAACCTAAGAGGTTAATCCTCTGCATTGTGTAAAAAGGCTGTTTGATCCTGTCTTCTCTGACTTCTCCTTCTTCTATTGTCCCCCAATCCACCTGCCATAGTACAGAGCAACAGTTGCAAGTCTGCACATGCTCAGTTTGGTGTGTATTGCTAGAGCGGTTTTTTTTTTGGGGGGGGGGGTGCATGTGATCAGCACAGGGCCAATAAGAGGGCTCAGGGGTCATGCAGCCTCATAGGACAATCAGAGTAGAATGAAAACTCCTCATACAAGATTAACCAGCGCTCAGACAGACACTGATAGAATCACAAGACTGCTCTATCTGCTGATGAGAAAAGGTATTTAGCAGTTTATAGTTACTAAAATTATTGCATTTCCATGTTCTGTGTCCTGTGGGAGACCAGATATAGTGAATGCAGGGCCCGGGTACAGCGGATATAGTGAAAGCAGGGCCCGGGGAGAGCGAATATAGTGAGATGCAGAGTCCTGGGAGACCAGATATAGTGAATGCAGGGTCCTGGGGAGACCAGATATAGTGAATGCAGGGTCTGGGGGAGACCAGATATAGTGAATGCAGGGTCCGGGGAGACCAGATATAGTGAATGCAGGGTCCGGGGAGACCAGATATAGTGAATGCAGGGTCTGGGGAGACCGGATATAGTGAATGCAGGGTCTGGGGAGACCAGATATAGTGAGTGCAGGGTCCGGGGAGACAAGTTATAGTGAATACAGGGTCCTGGGAGACCAGATACAGTGAATGCAGGGTCCTGGGAGACCAGATATAGTGAATGCAGGGTCCTGGGGGAGAGCGGATATAGTGAATGCAGGGTCCGGGGAGACAAGTTATAGTGAATACAGGGTCCTGGGAGACCAGATACAGTGAATGCAGGGACTGGGGAGACCAGATATAGTGAATGCAGGGTCCTGGGGAGAGCGGATATAGTGAATGCAGGGTCCGGGGAGACAAGTTATAGTGAATACAGGGTCCTGGGAGACCAGATACAGTGAATGCAGGGACCGGGGAGACCAGATATAGTGAATGCAGGGTCCTGGGAGACCAGATATAGTGAATGCAGGGTCCGGGGAGACCAGATATAGTGAATGCAGGGTCCGGGGAGACCAGATATAGTGAATGCAGGGTCCGCGGAGACCACATATAGTGAATGCAGGGTCCTGGGAGACCGGATTTAGTGAATGCAGGGTCCGGGGAGACCAGATATAGTGAATGCAGGGTCCGGGGAGACTTGATATAGTGCATGCAGGGTCCAGGGAGACTTGATATAGTGCATGCAGGGTCCGGGGAGAGCAGATATAGTGAATGCAGGGTCTGGGGAGACCAGATATAGTGAATGCAGGGTCCGGGGGAGAGCAGATATAGTGACTGCAGGGTCCGGGGAGAGCAGATATAGTGAATGCAGGGTCCGGGGAGACCAGATATAGTGAATGCAAGGTCCTGGGAGACCGGATATAGTGAATGCAGGGTCCGGGGAGACCAGATATAGTGAATGCAAGGTCCGGGGAAGACCAGATATAGTGAATGCAGGGTCCGGGGAGAACAGATATAGTGAATGCAGGGTCTGGGGAGACCAGATATAGTGAATGCAGGGTCCGGGGAGAGCAGATATAGTGACTGCAGGGTCGGGGAGAGCAGATATAGTGAATGCAGGGTCCGGGGAGACCAGATATAGTGAATGCAAGGTCCTGGGAGACCGGATATAGTGAATGCAGGGTCCGGGGAGACCAGATATAGTGAATGCAGGGTCCGGGAAGACCAGATATAGTGAATGCAGGGTCCGGGGAGACCAGATATAGTGAATGCAGGGTCCGGGGAGACCGAATATAGTGAATGGGGGGTCGGGGAGACCAGATATAGTGAATGCGGGGTCCGGGGAGACCAGATCTAGTGAATGCAGGGTCCGGGGAGACCAGATCTAGTGAATGCAGGGTCCGGGGAGACCAGATATAGTGAATGCAGGGTCCGGGGAGACCAGATATAGTGAATGCAGGGTCCGGGTAGACCAGATATAGTGAATGCAGGGTCCGGGGAGACCAGATATAGTGAATGCAGGGTCCGGGGAGACCAGATATAGTGAATGCAGGGTCCTGGGAGACCAGATATAGTGAATGCAGGGTCGGGGAGACCAGATATAGTGAATGCAGGGTCCGGGGAGACCAGATATAGTGAATGCAGGGTCCGGGGAGACCAGATATAGTGAATGCAGGGTCCAGGGTTTAGGAACACTTTAAGGATAGTGATCATATAAAGCCTCTTATTATCACATAGTTGTTTAGCTCCTTTTTATATCATAATAATAACATAAATCATCCAAATGGCCCTGATTCCATCCCCTGGAATGTTTGGCCTTGTACAGATACACAAGGTGACACTCACAGGTCACATAATTGCTGTGATAGGCTCTGATTGGCTATCACAGTGATCAGTCACTGTGAAGCCCGCCCCCCTTGTTTTTTTTTTCTTTTCTTGCTGAATGGAGGAGAGAGATACATATATCTCCTTGCAGAGAGAGAAAAAAAAACTGTTTGTAAAAAACAAACAAACAAGATAAATAAATAAATATTAAAAAAATAAAGAAAAAGTACCTAGAACAAGGTTTGATCTAGTTCACTGCCAGGGTTAGTGTTTGGGTCAAGGTTTTTTTTTTTTAAATTTGTATCAGTGTCAGTTAGTGTCAGTGTGTTTTAGGTTGAAAAAAAATGTGCACTATAGTTTCTGAGCTGTACTACGGGTACAAACAACAAATAACATACACATATATGGTATCGCTGCGATTCTCAAGAGCTGTAAAATTTATTTTGGGTTGTTCTTTGGTGGTAGGTTATGGTAGTAACAAGCAACACACGGCTAAATTTAAAAAAAATACTATTTTTACTTTTACTATTTTGGGCCAGTTTTCCTTTTATAATAAAAAATTCGGGAGATATCCATTACTATTTACCACCAAATGAAAGCCCAATTTGTCCTGAAAAAAATAAGGTATAATTCACCTGGGTGTAGAAAGCAGTTGTGATGATATGTGCGGTTTTACTAACACAGGTCAAAGTTGTAAAATTGTACTTAGGCTTTAAGATTTGTTTTACCCTTAGGCGTGAAGGGGTTAATGTAAGGGGGCACTCTAATAGGGATAGGTGATGTAAGGGGGCACTCTGTTGAAGCAATTGATGTAAGGAGAACTCTGAGGGGACAATTAATGTAAGGGGGCACTCTAATAGGGATAGGTGATGTAAGCGGGCACTCTTTTGAAGCAATTGATGTAAGGAGAACTCTGAGGGGAAAATAATGTAAGGGGGCACTCTAATAGGGATAGGTGATGTAAGGGGCACTCTGTTGAAGCAATTGATGTAAGGAGAACTCTGAGGGGAAAATAATGTAAGGGGGCACTCTAATAGGGATAGGTGATGTAAAGGGGGCACTCTGTTGAAGCAATTAATGTAAGGAGCACTCTG